ATTAAAGTGACACAAAATGAAATATACCTTGGTGTTAACAAAAACCCCATTATTAGCATTAGCATAGAAAACTACTTTTTTCCCCTTTACTTTCACTTAGGCAATTCACTCAGTTTGAATAAAGCTTTTTGTGTGAGTCATTATGTCTTCAGTTTTCTCCTTTATGTGACCTTCTAGAGCCATAAAGTTGCTGAGTTAGCCGTTTGCTTGCACATGACACATCTGCGTTTCTACAAGTTATTAAATGTTCACATATAAACCAACTCAACGCAACATTGCCAAAACGTTTTTTTCTTCTGTAAAAACCATGTGCCACTACTTGAGACACGTTCAAAAAATGTAAGTGACAAGTCTATGTTTAAGAGATGAGTCAGGAAAAATAAAGGAGCTATGACATTCATCTAGGTTAAAGGTTTGAACCAGCCTGCCAATCAGAGGGAAGTCAAGTGTGGATTCGGGCCTGGCAGCAAAATTTAAATCCACACTTTCACAGCAAAAAAAAGGGAGGTGTGCTGCAGGCGCTCTGCCATCTCTCAGAGTCAAGTCCTGCACTTGTTAAACCTTCTGACAAGAAGTATCATCCTCAAAGTGTGGATCTGCAGACTAGAGATGCCTCGACTTGTGTCAAAACCTGCAAACCTGATGGATTCCTACCTAAAACTGTGACTTCAGGGTATGTACAATCAACGTTGACTCAGTTAAGATTAAAAATAAGAGTCGGAAATCAGGGAATGACATGTGGGAAAGGAGCCACAGGCTGGATTTGAACCTGGGCTGCCTGCTTTGAGGACTACGGCCTCTGTACATGGGGCGCGCGCACGCACTAACCACTGCACCACCAGCGCCCCATAGCATGCATGTTTTAATTGTATTAAACGCTCCTACACACAGACCGGAAGTTTCTTTATCCACATTCCCTATAGGACAACTTTCTGGGTGATACATTTGACAATTGGGTAGCTCAGGAATTTCCTCACAAAGCATAATACATTTTAATCTTTGTGAAATCAAAATAATGTTGTTTTCATATTTTGTACAACTTTACCAGATCTAACTTATTTAACAATTAAAGGAAAAAGAAGAATCTTTTCTGCAGAGGATACTGAGTGCACATGTTGAGGACAAGATTAACAAAGATATAAGATGGACTGCTTTGTCCACAGGGGTTGCCAAATCCAACGAAATTTCCTCACAATGGCTTCAATTAAATTAGGGAAAAGTCTAGTGCTTAAAGAGGACATATCATATTCCTTCTCCACCTTTTAAAACAGTCCCCTGTGGTCGACATGAAACATCTGTGCTGTGCTTTGGTCAATATATAACATCAAACAAGCACCAGAGGAGGTTTGTGACCCTGTATAAACCAGCTCTCTGGAGCGCTCTGTGCACTGTGACGTCACAAGGAGAGCAAATTTGAAACGGAGCATTTTTCTCTGTGTTGTAAGACTTATGCAGACCACAAAAAAATGATTGGATGGGTTTATTTCATTTCACATTTTGTGGGTTGGTAGACACTCAGGTTACCCAAATGTATGTTCAAAAATACTTTCAAAGTGGATTTTTCATAATATGTCCCCTTTAAACATTTGGTCTATCAAAGGTCTGCCATGATCAATCATCCTTTATCAGGCAAGTGATTGCTTCTTGGATTTTTCAAATGAAGTAGTAGAAGTAGAAGAAGTAGAAAAGATGCTAAATGTGTTTTCTTTTTCTTTGTTTATGTCTTCTTATGTGTGCTAGGTTTTAGACAGTTGGTTGAAAAATCAACCCATTGAAGACATCTTACATTTTGAGAAACTCTACTGATATGTTGACCTATAGCCTACAGTCTGAAAGCTTAAAATCCCCTTTGCAGCTCTTCATGTTATGCAAAGGATGATACAAACAGTAAGGGATAAAGGCTTTTATCTGTATTGACTCCGTTAATGTCTTCATTAAGAATATGAGTGCAACATCTTTTGGTTGTTTGTTGTGACTATACGTCAAGTTAAATATTTTGGAGACACTTTTCCAACATCAGACAAAGGAGCTTCTTTGCTGTTATAATTCAAGATGATATTACCTGAGGCCATGAGGCGTCAAAGCCCATGTGTCCGCCTCAGATCAGACCTCATTTAAATGAAATCTGCATTAACATAATGCTCTCTTCAAGAAAAGCCTTTTTTCAGGTGTAATGAAAGAGGACATTACGGCATCCACATTTATCAAAAGCTATTTTCATGCACCATGTCTGATGTAGTATGGTTCCTAATGGGGATAATTGTGTGGCTTTGTACTGACTGATGCATCATGAGCCAAAATTTGTCTGTTATTAAAGATATTTGATGTCTGGGAAAACAAAATCCATCATAATTACAATGCTGTCGCCCATACATATTCATCTCAATCCATATCCCCTAATCCACTCAAAGGCTTTTAAAGTCAAATCTGTAGAAAATTAATTGAAAAGAGGCAAACACATATTGTGACATGATGTTTAAAAAAATTGAGGTAGAAGACTTTTTGGCTGTCTTTAGGTGAAAAATTGAATTCCATGGCAGCTTGGGGTTTTGTCAGACACAGACAGAGCAAACTGTGAACCTAAATCCTCAGGAAGACGTTCTGGGGTGGATTGCTATAAAGAATATATTTTTTCCATTGTAAGGATTCAGAGTGAGTTACAAGTTTTACTGTTGAAAAAAAGCAGGATCAGACTTTTTTGTTCAAAAACACTAAATTTAACAAAGACACAAGTAGTATCACTTTGCAGTGTTTCCCACACATAGACTTGACTATTTATGCCACCCAAGTGTATAAGCTGACCAAAGTTGCATTTTCTAATTTTTTAAATTCTTATCAGAATGCCATCTACAAAACATTTTTCATTTATAGATTAATGTAAAACGCAAAACAAAAAAAAAGTTATACTGGCATAGTTGCCCCAAAGGATTGTAGTGCAGTTTCGCATGAATTATTCTCTTTTTTGTTCATTTTTACTTGTTTTGTCGTCTTTTGCTTTTCAATTTTGGTCATTGGTGTTCATCTCCCTGTATTATTGTATTTTCATGTTTCATTTATTGTTGTTTCATTTCCCGATCACAAAAAATATAACCTGACCGGTTCCAAAACGTTTCAAAAAAATATTCCAAATGTTTAGACAAAAAAATCCATGTTTCATGACAGCCCCATAAAATACCATTTCATCTCTGTCAATTAAAGATCAGGAAATGATTTTTTTTTTTTTTGTACTTTTCTGCCATTAGTCATCAGGATCCCATCATGTGTTAAAACTGAGATAAAAAAAAATAAAAGAAGAGGTTGTGTTGCCACTGGGACTCACAGCCTTGTGAGTGCAGAAGAGCTGGACAGATTTGATGTGGTGCAGAATTTTAACTTGCACAAGCTGAGGAGAAGAGTTGCATCAATTTGACTGAAATGACAGCTGACGACAGCAACAATGAGGTATAGCTTCATAATTCATGACAGCAGGGAGGTTACTCGGTCAAGGAGGTAGTGGAAAAAATATGACTAGTTTAACTGAAATACTGAGACGACAACCATTAGCTGATGAGTGGAAGCTGGAGAGAGAATATAAATAATGAGCGAGCATCAAGTCCTCCTGATTGAACTTCCGCTAAGCTTCATAATGACTTTTTTTCACAGACCTTATTGTCTGAGGAGCTGGCATTTAATTATGAAAAGAATAATTAAAGCAAGGCCTACAAAAAAAAAGAGCTGCTCTTGTGCCTGAGATCAACCGGTTGCTCGGCGCTGATAAAGCCTCTGAAATGACAGGAGAGAGCTACACAAGCAGTCGCATGACACACGCAGTTCCTTTCTCTGAGGGCTGTTTGGTCCATCACATGTGAAAGTATAATGCAGGGAATGATCCATCATAGCTAAAGCTTTGCAGGGGCCAAGATGGGAGCTGCATTTCTGCTTAATAACCCTGCAGCTGAAGTTTTATTCATGTCCTTTCCCCTTCTCTTTGCATCAAGAGCAAACATCAGACCACACTTCATACTACATATACAAGATGGCATTTTAATGAGCCTTACTTTCAATGCAAATCTCCCTTTTTCCCCTCCTGTTCCTGCTCATCTCTGCCACCTCAGAGGAAATGAAGAGAACACGGTGGCCTTCGTAGTATCACATCTCCACCGTGCATGTGTATTGCAGTAACAATAACTCTTTCCACCCACACACTCTCACTCTCCCTTCCCCTCATGGCAACCACCACCACCACCACCACCACCACCACCACCACCTCACCCCGCTCCAGCGCCTTCAGTGGCTCACGTGCCTCAGCACACTCTGATAAATCCCATGTTACAGAGTGGGGGAGAAAAAAAAAAATCTCCACACTCAAGTCCAGAGGGGCATCAGAGTGCGGGGGCGTCATCCGACTTCCTGAGGAAACAGAGGATGTTGTTCCTTATCACTCTGATGAAGCACACTTCATTTGTAAAGACTGAACTTCAGAAAGGAATAATGCTGCTGGAATGCTATAAAACACAGCATTAACCTCATTTTATTTTGACAATCAATTTGATTTCAGCATGAAAGCTTGATAAAAAAAGGACTACTTTACAATTCATTTGGCATCCAGCTGTTTTCTTATTCTTATTTTTTTTTTTTTATGAGTAGCTTAATAGATTTTTATATATTCACATTTCTGCAGATCAAAATGTTGTCTAATGGCACTTCCTTCAAAATGATTTGAAAAACTTGATAAAAAATGATGATTATTTAGCAGTTCATTATTTAATTATTTAAACATCATCCAGCACAAGTTTGAATTATGTGAGAGAAAGGATGGTAATGATTGAATTTCTCATTTTCTTGTTGAAATCCCCACTTCACTCTTCGTGGTCTGTTAGTCTTTTGTAGGAGACGAGTCAGAGATCAGTTAGCCCACACACTGAGCTGTGTGTGCGGAGGGGTGATGCCTGGAGAGCGCATCACAGGTCGACAAAACCCCTCTGCAAGACGCAGAGCCAGAGTAGAGCAGCTCTGGCACGGGAGCCTGGTCAGCTTATAGAAAAAGGGGAAATCGCTTCAAAGGATTTCCTAAAAGACTTCTTATCATGCTGGGATCATTCTGATTATCCTTCCAGGATTGTGTACAGAGAGGATGTAGTGGAGAGAAAGAGGGGGACTCCAGCGGTGGAGAGATCTGGGGATGCTTGGACACGGTTTTGGGTGATTGATGCCACCCTGCAGCGGTACAACAACACTGGATATGCACAGAAAAAGTGGGGGAAAGTGAGTTTCGGGGCGCACAGGATGGACACTGCGGAGGTAATCCTCTCTGTGTTGGTGGTTGTCATTATTATAGTGTCGTTGCTGTCCAATGTCCTGGTGCTGATCTGCTTTTTGTACAACCCGGAGATCCGTAAGCAGGTCCCAGGTCTGTTCAACCTCAACCTCACCTTCTGTAACTTGTTGCTCACCGTGTCCAACATGCCGCTCACTTTGGTGGGACTTGTCAGTCATGCTCAGCCTGGAGGAGACGGCTTCTGCCAGACCGTGGGCTTCCTGGAGACCTTCCTGTCCACAAACTCGATGCTGAGCATGGCCGCTCTGAGCATCGACAGGTGGATCGCGGTGGTCTTCCCCCTGAGGTACCACTCCAAAATGCGCCATAAAGACGCAGCGTTTGTGCTTGGATACACGTGGGTGCACTCGGTGTCCTTTTCCACGGTGGCCGCGTGCCTCTCCTGGGTGGGATACCACCGGCTTTACGCGTCCTGCACCCTGGCCAACCCCAGAGCGAACAGCCGGACCCAGTTTGTTATCTTCACCGTGTTTTTCCACTCCTTCACCTTCCTCCTGTCTTTTATAGTGCTGTGTTTCACTTACCTCAAAGTGCTGAAAGTGGCGAGGTTTCACTGTAAGAGGATAGACGTGATAACGATGCAAACTTTGGTGCTGCTGGTGGATATACACCCCAGGTAAGACCCCTTAACTCATTATTCCTGTTTTTAATAGCCTACTTCTGCTTTAGAAAGCTCCTACTATACTATATTGCTTTGGAGTTTAGATTCCAATTGGAATTTCAAGCAAATAAGAGCACTGGGAGAAAGACGAGAACAAAGTGTACCCTCTGAACCCTCTATTTAAAAACTGTAGGTGTTGCCATGATTTCTTTTCATACATTAATTAAAGCCTGTTTCGTGTCTGCGTAGAGTTGGACAGTTGCTTTGCAATCTTTGAGCTGGCATTTAAATGATTCCTCAGTATTCAGAGAGGATGCAAAATCGGATTCAATCGAAATGTCATCCAGATTCTGCTGAAATGTCACTACTCTCTGCCTCTATTCTTATAGGCTACTTAAACTCATATTTAGTGTGTGTGTGTGTGTGTGTGTGTGTGTGTGTGTGTGTGTGTGTGTGTGTGTGTGTGTGTGTGTGTGTGTATTTGTATTACATCACTGTTACACACTGGCTTTATAACTCCTGCTGTCAGTCTTTACTCACACTGATGATTTCATCAAATATTACCTGAGGGACTGTATCATCATGACATCACAGCTATGGTGCCTTCAGGGTAACATACAAAGTCACAAGTTAAATTTGCCAGCCTTGCAGTAACGGGCCTCATTCTGCAGAGGCTTTGAGATAAAGTTATTATGATACCACAGCTGCGTTTAGCACCTTTAGAAAAAAATAAAATTAAGATTTTTATGAACTTCTAGACAAACGTTGTTGTTTTTCCTTGGTGTGTTTGTGTGTTAGAAACCCTCTTGAACTCTCTTTGTTTCCAGTGTTCGACAGCGTTGCCTGGAGGAGCAGAAGAGGCGACGACAGAGGGCCACAAAGAAGATCAGCACCTTCATCGGCACCTTCATGCTCTGCTTTGCTCCGTATGTGATCACTAGGTAGGTGTTGGGGGATAGACCTACATGCAGAGGGAGGGGAGGGAGGAGTACCACTGCTGGCACAGTGCAGCGCACACCCAGCCCTTTTGTTTTGCTGGGATCCCCCGAAACCCCCCTTCTCTGCTGTCAAACTCCCCTCTACTTCCTCTCCACACCAGCCAGAGTTGGAAGATGAGATTGGCTGACCTTGTGATAAGTAATATGCCTCTGCTGTTGTTGCTGCAGCACCAGCAGTTTTCTTCTCAAGTTCGTCGGGTGCATCAGTTTCACAGGTAGAATGTGCTCGCATTAATCACCGAAAAAAGAGATGGTGTCATAACACACAAGCTGTGTGTAAGTGGTCAAGCGAGAGGGTTTTATTTGTAGCAGTAAAAATCCTACAAAGGACATGAGAATTAAAAAAAAGAAACTTAAGAATGGCTTAGTCATTATCTCCATATACAGATTATTTTAAATGTCAAATATACATGTAGATTTTGTAAACAAACAAAAAGCAGGTAAGAAATTAGAATTTTACGTTTTCTTTTTTTTTTCTGAAAAATTAGGGTTGCTGTTAAAAACTTTTTTTTTTTTTTTCAAACTTGCCCATACCTTCAAACATACTGCATTTACATCCATTGCATTTGGCTGGGATAAAATTCCCAGAAATCAGTTTGAGATCAGTAAAGGCCTAGCTCTAATCCTGAACATAGAAGAAAACTTTGGATGTACAACAAACTACAACTTTGGAAGTTCTCTACCAAGCGGCAACCTACAGCGTTGAAAAATGAAGCCAAGTGCTAAAAAACTGCAGTTCTTTGAGTGTCCACTTTGGGCACTTTGGGCATGGGAGGCTTCGTCAACTGAGGCTTTTCATCGATTTGGACAACAAGCACTAACAATTTGTCGGTTATCAGTAAACCTCCCGTGGTGAACGGTCATAATGGCACTGTACATTGTCTCATCCTGAAAATGGCAGTTTACTAATCGCAGTGTGAATACATTAAGCTAAAAGCTCCTGCACGGCCTCTTTGAAGCTTATTTGTTGTCGGGGTCATCATGTGTGTTGTGAAAGCCCTGCTTTGCTGTGTGTAACCTCCTGTCCACTGCGGTGAGGTGCAATGTGTGGCCAAATGCCACTGATAGCTTCTGGCCCATGTAAGACCAGTGTTAATGTGCTGACAGAGCTTGACTGTGGACAGAGTAATCATAAGGAGTGCAGGAGAAGAGGATCAGCCATTTTTAAAATTAGTTTTATGACTTGACATTTGGTAAAATATTTCTACACGTATAAGAAATTAGTGTAATTACCTCAATTTGATGTTTTTTATGAGCATGCTATAGATCAGCTATACTTTAATTGGGCAAAAGGCAACAATGTAAAGCCAATTAGTTCCCTCTTTAAATCAAATATACACTATTTGGGAATGGTGAGTCATTTTCAATTGGCTGCCTGAAGAATTCACTGTCCTTTGTCCTTTAAGATTCCCTTAAGAGACTGCTTTTAAGTATTAGTTAAGCTATTACTGCAAGAAAGTGATGGTCTGTAGTGCCCCATTTCAGACTCCATCCAGGGAGTGTTACATGTCCCTCTGGAGTGTCAGGGAGTACGTTTAAGTATCAATTCAAAGCACAATCTACACATTATTTAGAGATGGTTGTAAAAAGAGCACAGATTTCCGGTATGTTTAATATTTTGGTGGGCTGTCTGCACAAACTTGCGCAGTGAGAGCAGTCACAAGCCCATTCCTGGCTTAAGGTTTTAAACTGACAGACAACATCCGAAATCACCATGGCAACAGCATGCATGCCTGTTTAATTTGTCTTCCCTCTCCTAGGACAGTCTGCGGACCTCCAGTGAACAGGGAATATTTGTTGTGATTTAGCTGCTAAACTTGGGTTTATTGGTGATGCTGAGTGTGTGTGTGTGTGTGTGTGTGTGTGTGAGAGAGAGAGAGAAAGAGTGAGAGTGTTTTATAACGGTGTGTGTGTGTATGTTTGAGCTGTGCATATAAGACAACTAAAACACACATAGGTTTGAATTCAACCTCAGTCTGTGTGTGTTTTCTATGGTCAATTCTCCTCCCCTATGTTACTTGTACAGTGTGAGATTGTGTCCCGACATTAGGTCATAAAGTGTGAGAACATTAACCCTGTGCTTTGGTCCTGCGTTGTAAACGATTCAGTCGTATAGTGTGAGCTGACATTCCACACAACGACTTTTCCACAATCTCACTGTGTATTCATCTAACAGAGTGTATCAAGCATACTATTCATATTTTTGCAACTGATAAAGAACATATTTCTCTTGGCCCTTTCTGTACACATGTTGATGCTTAAAATGTTTGTATTTTTGTAAAAAAAAAAAAAAAATAACATGACTAATGTTGCTGAGAATATATTACTCTAGCTCTCTTGTGGCTATTGATCCATTTTCAGGGTATAACACAAAATTATAACCCTTTAAAGCATTTAATGGATCATAAGGGAAATGGAGGAGTGGTTATAGTTATTGTGCGAGGTTGGCTTGGGCTGTGAGGCTCACACACAGTAATATATTTTCATGGGGACCAGAATTCCTGGTAAAACCTCCCGGCTAAGTGGAACATATTTCAATTAAATGTATTTCACTTAGGACTGTCCCACAACATCCTCACTTCCCCCTTGTCTTTATTGTTCCTTGTCATCCCTTCATAGTTTACAGAGTCCAGGTTGCAGGCACTGTACATCTCCTTGCTAATGCGGAGATAAAACACTCAGTCAGCAAATTCTGTCAGTACTGTATATTTCTCACTGCTTTTAAATGATTTTGAATTTGCAACCTTTTTCTTTTTATGATTTTTTTTGTCACTGTTGCGTTTGACCTTGTTGACCACCACAGACATTAGAGAAGAAGTGAAACTGGACAGAGGCCTACATTTTATTGGGTACCTTTATTTGATGGGATAGCTTAAGAGAGACAGTAAATTTGGGGAATAAAGAGTGGGAGTGGGAGATGACATGCACCAAACACGAGTAGGATTGGAAATCGAACCTGCGATCACTGTGAGCAGGACTGTAGTCTCTGTTCATTGGACACCTGCGCTACAAACTGAGCTAAACAAGCTCTTCATCTTGTAGATTTGTTCCTAAAAAATAACTTGATACAGATAAAGTACTTCTAAGGCAACTTCATACTGAAATGAATATCATCACTTTAGAAGAGGAGGAAGAAGCCACCGCTCCGCTGACACAATGTCTTGCCTACTGTACTGCTATCTTTGCATAATAAGCTTAGGGCAAGCATGTCTTTTCCAGCATACTGACTCGCCTCTCTGCCACCCTCCCTCTCTCCCTCCCTTCTCTCTTTATGCTTGCCTGCAGGATCGTGGAGTTATTTCCAGCGGTGCCTATCAACCCCCACTGGGGAATTGTCTCCAAGTGCTTAACTTACAGCAAAGCAGCCTGCGACCCCTTTGTGTACTCTCTGCTCCGACACCAGTATAAGAAGACGTGCACTGACATCATCAACAGGCTGCTGAAGCGAAGCTCATTGAACGCATCCGGGCGCAGACAAGAGAACCAAGGCAACAGCATACCCACAGCAAACTGACAGGAAGCAGGGGATGGTGGGATACAGTCTGAGGGTCGACCTGGGAACAGTCAGTGAAATATGAAGCTGATTTATCGTACATGAAGAAGAGAGCAAATATTGGTTGCTCCACGTCTGCTTGTATTTTGTCTGACATGCCCAAAAACCCAAAGTCACTACAGACAAGGGCAAACCATGCGCGGTACCACTGTGCATACTGAGCACCCAGAACTGCGGATCAGTACAGTGAACCTACTGTGAGGACAATAAGCAATGGCAGGTTTCACTTCCACCTGGAGAGACTAATGTGCTCAACCAAGGAGAACGACCAGTTCCAAGAATCATTATTTGAACTACAGTAGCTTTCATCTTAATTTAAGATAAATTGCTCTTGCAGAATATTTGTTTGTTCTGACATTACTGTAGTTTTTATTCACATTATCTTTAAAACAAAACAAAAAAAAGGATAAGAAAATGGATGGATGTCTTTTTTAGAGTGTGTAAATGACAAGTTGGTACAGTATGTAGCACTGAAAACTAGCCTAACCAAAACTTGATAAAAAAACCCAGACTTGATGGGATGAAACATTCCTCAGATCACACATACTTTGGGTTGTTGTAGATTTTATGGAGTGTAAAGGTCAATGAAGGAAACGGATAAGGAGGCTTTTTTTGGTTCATCGCCATTATTTGCGCTTTCAGCTCCAATTTTGAAGGACTGTTTTGTGACCCAGCAAGGTCGAGGATTATTGGGTAAAATTGGCCTTCAAACGGACTGCCTTTGCTGTCATGACTGACTGTGTGCCCCTCGGTTGTTTATTCAAGTGGAGCATGATTGACTGTACTTTCCCCTCTGTACTAACAGAGAGGAGTCAGTAGAGTATGCTTTATGCTTTCACACACATTTGAATGAGATGGACAGGAATGGAACACGGTACACGATGTCTTTGTTTTTCTTTACTTGGCAGAGTGATCACATGAAAACTGATGTCATCATGTGATATTGAACAGCAATGATGAGAATCCATACAAGGATACAAACGCTTCTAAGAACAAATCAGCTCTGGTAGCAGAAATAATCCCTTGTCTTTCGTTAGTTCTATTTTAAAAGAAACGGCACCACCTAATATTTTTCTATCTGCGTTACAATTGAATGAACATGCTCACACTATTTTAACATTTGTCAGACTCAACAAAGGCAAGTGTGCCTTTCTTATTGGAGCCTCTGAAACAGGCTAGTATGACTATGAGTTTTGACTATGAGTCGGCTTAATAGCTCAATTAGATTTTTATGGCATAGCTGGATATATAAGTTAGTGCAAGGAGTAGATAATATGAACTCAGTCTCCCCTGATATGACACATCATACTTCCAGTGATGCCTCATGAGTTTCCATCAAACTAAACAATTAAATATCTTATTAAAATTATTTCCATGACACTTCTTAAGAAACTTACTATAAAACAAAGGCTGCTCAATTTTTTTCATTTTAAGGTTATCATTGGAAGTAATGGTTTTAAACCGTCATTCTATGACCTCATGTAGAAATCTGTAAACTGCCAGCCGGCAACTTGACCGGACAAGACTAAAATTTCCACAAGTATATTGTTTACCTACATCTTTCTTTTTCCAGTGATAAACCAAAAGAACAAAGACAAAATCAAGGTTTTTGAATAATCAAAAAAAAAATGGTTAGAAAAAAACTTTATTTTTAATATATAATTACGTCAAAATTATTTTCGCGATCTACTGGTTTTTGGTGTTTGCATAAATCGCCATCACATTGCAAAATATATTACATTAGTCATAATAGACAACTGAACGTAAGAAATGCAACAACTAGTTTCTCTCAATAGACTGATGCATTATTTGACTTGTTGACTTGAATTGACTTTAGCCCTGTCAAGTACCCTGAAAGCATTCATTTGAAAAGCTTGTCCTACCAACAGTAAATTTATGGAGAATAGGAAAGGTTGTCATCTGCAAAGAAAAGTTTTTTGTTCCATTTTCACAGGCACTTTAGATTTGTTTTTGCAGTAAGCAATTTCAGAGTGGAAACCATGACATAGATTAGTTACGGTTCAACCAGGCTGATGTTCATTGAACTAGAAGAGACAGACATGCTTCAACATATTGATTATTTGTTTCTAGAGTTGCTTTGCTTCCAGGTAACATTTGTATAATAAAAAGTATTTTTCACAGTTAAATATATGTACAGAAATCAAATTGACATTTATAGTGTTTTAAAGAAAGATCCTTAGCAACCAGTATGTGTTTTTGAATGAGATGGATAGCTTTGAAAGGACGGCAATACAACCTCTTACCCTCGTGTTGAATAGACACATGTTCTGTATATTTATTAAGTCCCAGTGCTTGTGTTTTCGCTGTTGTTTCCAGGCATTTCTTGAATCCTAAGCCCGAGAGCCCTCTTGATCGGCAAAGTGTTTTATACCCACTATGTTGTACCTATTATATCCATTTTCTGTATCAGAAGACAGGCAGCTCTGTATCAGAGGGCTTTAGACTGGGCTCCACTTGTTATAGAGTTGTCATACTGTGGAACGAAAGCCTAAGTTCAGAAAAGTTTATGGACCTCTGATTTACAGTTTACTCTGTTGAATTTGTATTTTTGCTGGATTTTCGATACACAATGCATTCAGACAGTGCACACAAATGGCAAACAGTGACATACTGTGGTGCCCAAAATGATCAATGATGCCCAGTGAGCCAAATGTAGCTGCAATTTATTTTCTGAAAACATCAGAGGATACATAAAAAAATATTTATTAAATTAATTGTTGCTTTTATTTTGTGTCCTTGACAACAATAATTCATTATTTTACAGTTGAGAAATGGTTGTCTTGGACATTTGATGCATTGTACTGTACTGTATAACACTCCAAGGTAACCAATGCCTTAATTTTACAGTAGTTCAGAGGTTTATTCACCATGTATGGCATAAAGATAGCTTGAATTCTCTCGTGAATCAACCATTGCCTTATTCACTTCGGTTCATTACACACACTCATGTAGAACTGGCTCTGTAGTTCTAGACCCTGATTCTGTTATTTGCTATATTCACACCATTTTCCTCTGATGTCAAGCTCAAGTTGGGACGTTTTTAATGCTATCATAATACTTTATTGCAATGTAGGTTGCAGGTCATTAACTTTGGGTATAAGGCACATTGTGATTATGTGACTGTTTGTCAATTGGGATCATTTGACTGCTTTGTAAAGATAACTAAATGAGAAAACAATGAACAGTGAAATTCCATTAGCTTACGTGTGGCAACAGCTAGCATTAGCATTTAGGCAGGGCCAAGTGAATATAACATCAGCTAGACAGTACATTTCTGGATAATATACATTGATAAGCTAGGTATTTAGGCTGTGATTTTAATGTGTAATTGTAATTTTAAAAGACTACCAAACAGTAGTATTACCTTTAAGCCACTTTCTAGCTAATAATAATATTGTCAATTGTAAGATGTTAATGATCTTTTCAGTAGGGGATTGGTTGAGAAAAGGTGAAATTATGATGTCAGAGGAAAATGGACCCTAATATGATAAATTCCATGGTCACTTTTAGCTGATGTTTTGTACTGATGTAGATCAGTTATTTTTCTCGTAATTGAAGACTTTGTTTATTTGGTGAAAAACAAGCTAAAAATTAAACAATATGTGTTGACAGTTAGATAAATGACTACTGAAAAGTATTTTTGTGTCTTTTTGATAAATGTTATTTATGAAGATACTGGTTTTGTTTGGGTGTTACTGAATGTGCCGCTTCAAATGCAAATTTAAGTTTTAACTGTTGTTGATGGGTGACAATGACTTAAGTGTAATATACCTCATTTTGTTCTGGCCACTGACTTGACTGCCTGAAGTGTTCTGTTATGTACCTCCTAATTTATAAAACCATTAGCTTGAAGCTGCTGCTAAAGATGAAGACCAGTTTATGATGGTGGTAATGTGGTGACATGAGTTTTATTGATGACAAAAATGACTACTGTTTCCATATGAACATGAAAAGATGAGACTTTGTGGTTTAAATAGTGATTGTAATAGAAATTCTGGTGAAATGAGAACAAAGACTGTTTTAGATTTTGACAATGATGATTAAAATATACTGTTAACTTTACCAAAGTGGTCTCTTCCTGGTTTTAAAAGAAAGCAAACAAAGAAATGTACTCAATCTAAGAAAAAGTGTGACTGCAACTATTTTTTTAATGGCGTTGTGAAAAGTCAGCTTTTTTGTTATTTCAAGAAGAAAAATCTATTTTTTTCATGGTATTGGGGGAAAGTGGTGTTGCAAATTCTACTCTAAGGTGCTAGAAAGATGAGTTCACAATATAGTCCACTTCAGAGAACTGCCTACAAAAGAACATCTTTATGAATTCTGCTGAACAACAGCTAAAAACAGTGAATCACCACCTTAGCTGTTTTCACATGTGCGTTCTGAAAATATCTAGGTAATTTCAAGAGGACTGCTCCTGAAATTCACCTGCACCTCACAGCTGTATAGTGTCTATGTCTGACAGAAGGGGCGGGGGGGGAGTGGGGACTCCTGAGGCATCTACTCACTCGAATCGAATACTGGAAAAATACTAGGGGTCTGGAAGGCAAAGTCCGACTGAAAAATGTGGCTGTTTTGGTTCACACATACACCTCCTCATGAACATATCTGGAGTTTTTCAAGAGTTTTCTCCAAGTGTGAAAGCCCTAAAGCAAGCTCATGTTTGGGAGTCTTCAATAATGCAATTAGAAAGGTTCATATTTACCCAAATAACAGTCATTTAAGCCAGCTAACAGTAATGTAAGCTAATATAAAGAATGAGTAATAAAAACACAGGACTGAATTAAGGTCTTTTCAGGAGATCCAGTCATGATAGAGGAGATATTTAATAAAACACCTGTAAAATATAGCTAAATCATTCTCTATTTACTAAAATTTGCTGCAGATACAACCTAACTATGTAACCAATATCAGGCTAAATGATTTATAAGTGCCATTTTTCTTCGGATTTCAGGGACAAATCAGTGGAAGCAGGGAAAGAATGAAATGGAACGTTTAACAAGAGCTACATGACTGTCAGCTGTAGTGGCTGCAGCAATTTGGACTGTTTCCACCTGCAATCTGTCTGAGCCAGGGGGAGGCAATCTTTCTATTCACACCACAGAGCAGGTGGTAATGAAACAACATCAGCCACTGACTGAGATTGCCTCGTCTGTAAAATGACTGAGATTCTCCACGCTGATTCACACCCCGTGAGCCAGTGATTATCTTCAGGTGGGCAGCAGTGACCGTAACACAAACCGTAATCATGGCCAGTCTCAACCCTTGCTGTCAAGTGATGGGTAGATACCTCGTAGATGTTTGTTGTTTTCTCTGTTCGTAACTCTTTGACTTGGGACTAATCAAACGAAGTTAACTTCACAGCTCAGAAAGTCTGAATGCAGAGCCCACAACATGTTAGTCACTTGGCTTTGCTTTCATGGCATTTAGTACTCCAGTGATGTGTAGGTTTACCTCTTTTGACAAGTGGGATTGTTAAATGACACATTTCTCCCGTCACTGGCAAAGCAAAGAGATTAATAACTCTTTTGAAAGGTATTTGAAAAAATCATAAACAACGGAAAAAAAGAAAAAAGACAGTTTGAAGCCCATGTGATTGCCAAGACAGACTGTTGTGTTTGTATGATTTCTCCAACACAGAACCACAAAATAATGAATGCTGAAAAAAACACATTAGCTGTGTCTCAATTTGGTCCTTCAAAGGACGCAGTCTAAGGAGGACCCAGCCTTTATAGTCTACGTATATCGCTCAGACTTAACTGATATTAGACAGTCTGGTCTGCAGAGGATTCCCAGTTTGTGTCTCCAGCTGTCCCCGCCCTTACCATATCTTTTCTCAGTGCTGCCCTCTTTGCCCTCTACCAACACGACTTCTTGACTCTATGAGTTCCATTTGAAGGCTGCATATTTATTTGGCTGTTGAGATTAAATACTATATTCTATATTCTCCAGAAACCCAATCTATAACCATTAACTCTACAAGTTACACTTGTTGTTTTCATTAGCTTGTTCTTGTTTTGTTTATAGGGTTTGTTGTGTTTCTTTTCTTTAGATAAGCCATGCTGTAATAATATGTTAATGGGAGATAGTAACATCGCAAAACAAAGATATTGCTCGGCCCCTGTAGGCAGAAGTTTAATTAGAAACAATAATTCACATCTGTGTTGGAGAGCAGGCCTTTGAAATATAACACATTACATTTCCAAAACTTCCCCACTATAAGGTATTTCACAAAGGGGTACAGAACCTTAATATCTTTTACAGTTGCAAATTGTTATCTGTGCCGTTTTCTTCAAAGGTTTTTTTTTCAGCCCTCCAACAAATTCCGGAGGCTCTGCACGCCCAGGTACATCCCACAGGTGTTTTCACTTATCTGCCTAATTAGGCTCCTTACAATGCAGATCACATATTCCACTGGGATTATGTCCAGAGCACAAAATTCTTTAACTCCCATTTTTTGTCAGATACAACCATCCTGTGCCTGTGCAGGAAAATGTTTTACATTAATAGGTTACCGGTTGAAAGGTGAAGATAAACGGTTTGGTGGAATTTAATTATCTATAGTCACCATAGTATTAGTGTTTTAGTTGCCTTTTCCTTCTCATGATTTAACCATTGTTTACCACCCAATAACCAACAACTGTACAGACTTTACATTGCTCTCTTGTTTTCCCTGGTAAGTCTTAAATGCATGTTTTAATGTCCTTATTAAAAATGTAGCTTTTGTGACTTAATGTTTTTTATAGGTACACCCAACGTCCACATTAACAGAGGTCTAATCAACTGACATAACAGCAAACACCTCTTTGCAGGGTGTTCCATAAATTTGGATCAGCCTTTGTAGCCTTTGAAGCACTTCACAATTGTAAAAAATAATTGTTATTTGATTGTACTTCGCCTAAATGTTCTTGTTCCTCCATATTCAAAGCGCTAATGTTCCTAATGTTTAACTCTAAATTTAAAAAAAAATAATTACAAGATATCAAATAGTGAAGCTATCATGAGAATGTCTCCTCTCTGAGTGCTGTCCAGTAAAATGTATGATAATGACTTGATTGTATATACTGTTTAGAAATAATAACAATGCTGGGTTAAATGTTTGGTATGGCAAGTGCAACTTAAACTAGATAATGGATTTATTTGCCTTTAAGTTGTAGTTATTAGAACATCCTTCTCCAACTAAATATTATCTGCAAACCCTCCCATGTAGCAGCCCTATTACATGTTACTCAAACAGATCTCCTGTGTGGAGCAGCTGTGCCTCTCCTTCGTGCTCTGCTTCTCTTGTGCAGCCTGTTGTTAAGTGCAGTGGGTTTGCTTGTTACCTAAACCTGGAACATCTGTGCTGGGGCTGCTACAGTTTTAAAATATTGCCTCGCTGGGCATTCACCTCTAGACTTCCTGGTTTCTTCCCACACTACACCAAAGTTGCACTCACTCATACTGTAAACACACTTCTGTCACATATTCATGATTTGTATTTGGATGAATGTTGTTTTTGTGTGTGGTCTGACATATTGCGGCTTGAACCAGGCAGAAACGATGATTTTGTAATTGTTTATGTGGTTTTTTTGTTGGATTAAAAAGCTCAGATTCACAGTGTTCACAGAAAAACTTGGACTGAAGATATTGAGATGATTTTTTGCTGAGTCTGTATGCGGAGAAATATACAGCCTGTTAACCATGTAATCAACTTGTTTAAAAAAACGTATATCTTGCTTACAGTTGGAGTGAACACTGAGTGGACTTCGTTTACACCATAGACTGTACATAAACAAGAACAAAGCCCTGGTGACGTCAACCACTGCATGCAACTTTTAAATCTGTTAGAGGGTGGTCACCTCATAAGAAATGCTGTCTCAACCAAACTTTCGTTCAAGCTAACAGTAGGCGGGTTTTAAGCCTCCAAGCAAGCAGTGACACAGTGCCAGCTTGTCAGTCAAGCCAGCCACGCCCCTAAAAATGAATAACTCTTATCCTTCATAAAATCAAAACAGGTGAGTTAAAAACAAATATCACTCTCTGAAAAGTGTGTGCCAGTAAAGACAAAAGCTATCCAGACCTATATCATTTAAAACCAGGCTGAAAATATGTTAATTTCTTCTGTAAAAACAAGCATTTTGCAATATGTGTGTAGTGGGTGTGACCCCCTGTGCGTCTGCAGTCAGCCTCAAGTGGACACTCTAGGAAATGCATTGACTTAATTTTGTTTTTCCGGGAGGTTGCCCCTTGGTTTACATACACTAGAGGAGTATTCTGACTTATTTGAGTGAAATATCTCAACAAATATTGGATGTAATTACCATTAAATCCTTTGCATACATCTGGTAAATTTAATCTGTTGCCCTCCCATCAGGTCACAATGGAGTTTTTCAATACTTTTATTTATGACTACTTACATTCCCATCTTCTGTAATATACGGCAATTTCTTTTTTATTTTTATTTTAAGGATGCTAGCTAAACTTAAAATCCAACATTTAAAATAATCACTGCTAGCATGATAGTATGAGGTTGTTAGCATCTACTTATCTGTCAGGTCAGGAAAGACAAACAATCAGATGATCCAACGGATTTTAGCCGTGCAAGTGTATCTAAAACAGTTTAATCAAAGATAATAACAAGTCAGTTAGTTTGTAATTGCATACAATAAAAACTTCTAACTACTTAGGTAAATATATTGGGTTGAAGCTGAAGAAGAAGTTGGTCTTTCAATTGTGGTGGATGTTCATTGGAAATCATTTTTTTGCCCAAGTCCTGGGAAGCCCTGATTGCTCTTGAGTGATGCTCCATTAGATTTTGTTTGAGTAGTTGTCAGTCAAACCAAAGATCACGATGGGTTAAATGACACCCGAATTTCTTTGAGACAAGCAAATAAAATCCCACTAAAACATTCTTGTCATACTAATAAGGCGGCAGAATTTGAAAAGTTTCTAAACTTAAAGTAATCCACAAAATAGCGTACTTTAAACCAACATCCTTCTTCTTTGTTAATCTTATTTATCGCTTTTGATATCCATTGAGTCCGCAGGGAGTTCAATCTGTCTCTGCGGCTCTGACAGCAGAGGGGAGGAGAGGTTAAGAGCTGGTTTACCGACGCTGCATGGCGACTCTCTCCTGTGATTTCCAGGCCGGCACTCCAACACTTCAAAGGCTGGACGGACTTCTGAAGAAGCTCTGGCCTTTCAACTGCTGGCAGGGTCAGTGTGGGCCTGTGTTTTCTAACACATCTGCACCGTATCACAGTTGCAGACCACAGGGACTACACTGCACACCCTGCACACTTTACAACCCCCTCACCCCATCCTGACACAGACCCCACCCACTTTCCCTCACAGGGATGGTCTGTGGGCCATATGGGAGAAGTTTGGATGGATATAACACAAAATGTATATTTATAACAAACATAATCACTACAGTATTCAATTATGAAACTACATTTTTAAAGTACATTTTCCACTTGATCTACAATGGAGAGTGAGTTGAACTACAATGCAAGTAAAGTGATTGAAAGTTCACATCACAGTCACATTACTAACCAATTGAGGCACTTAGCAAACCTCTCAGATCTGATTCTTCAAAATGATCTGCTGAAGTGAAGTGCTGCTCTTCACTTGATACATGTCACAAGTAATATCAAAATTGAACATACACAAACTCTGAAAGAGACACCTTTATGCTGTACAGCTTTCTAAAAATGGTTGACCTGGCTTTTAAATTTTTTTTTTATTGCGCTAATGTATTTACTCTCTAAAAGACATAGTCAAAGGGCATAGTCTCTAGGCATTGGGTCAAGCAGTTACAAGCTACTGAAGACATGAATACGATCTGAATGTGTGTAACTAACAATCTATGACTCACCCTTATTGTTTTTTAAAGGTAATATTTAATTTAGTCTTCTTTATACCGAGGATTTAACTTGACTTTACAAGGGGAGTTCCCCAAGGTATCGTTCTCGGACCTGTGTTATTCACTATTTAGATAAATGAAATCCCCACCTCATAATACAATTGACGTTTCCATCTTCATGCTGGTGAAACTGTCCTTTGTTCTTTTGCGAATTTAATTCATGATTCCACTCTAAAACTACAGTTAGCTTTTAAACTTTTGCAAATCCCCCTTCCTTGAAACTTTGTAAATTTAGGAGAAGGTTGAGGTAGTTATTTTGGAAAGACACATCAGCTATGATAGTGTTAGAATTCAATCTATGGATAGCCCAATTATACAGTGTAATATTAATAAGTATATTTATTGCTAATTCTTTAATTCTTGCATCTTAATTTTCCTGTTTTAATTGAAACTGCTCTAATAGTGTCAGTGCCTACGCACAATTAAAAATGAAGGTTCTCCCTCAGTGTGCCGTCTGAGGATTTAAATAAATAAATGGAATTCATGTTATTAATCTAAAAATATTTAGTGTTTACCAAGTGCTCATCCCAGTGTCTGCATTTTATTAGCTTATGACTCTTCACTCCCAGAGTAAATTTTTCAGATTTCAACAAACTATTTGAAATTCAAAGGCAAATTTAGATGCTCAATAACAAAATGAAGCTGAGTTAAATCATTAACATCTATGATGATAAGGTTACTTACTTACTTTTTACAAGTTTGCAGATAATATCGTGCATCTTAATTTCACTGTTATGAAAACAAAACTCAAAATGATCACCTGAAGAACACCTCTGTTGGAAACGTGATGAAATAAAACTTTTTGTGGTGCAGGCCTATCTTCTTCCTCAGTCTGCTGTTTTTGCACATCCCTGCACCTACGTGATGTGCACATAACTACCTCCTTTTCACTGATATAAAACTGCCACTTTTTGTAATCAAATATTATCTAGCAACTCTCCAAGCAGGCTTTGCATTGCACACACTCTGAAACATTGCATATAGCTTTGTTTTATGATACAGCATAAAAATACAGTATATTTTTAAATGTTAGACATCCAGTATAACTGAAGAAAGTTTGAGTGCCAGGTCAACAACAGACCATACTAACAGATCCAACACTGAGATGATTCAGTTTGATTTCCATGAATTTAAGTCAGAGAGATTTTTAATTGGAAACCCCTTTAATATATAACACCCCACCGTCTGAATGATTTGCAAATTAATTTCCTCTGCTTCATATTCAAAGTTGGTTACTGTGGTATACAAAGCGTGGTAATATTAACAAGCTCGGAAGTGTCTTTTACTGTTCGTTGCACTGAGATGATGACTGTGTGCGAGCCTCTCCTTGGTAACCTTTGGAGGAGGAGATAAGAGGTTGAGGTCTTCCTCTAATTGCATGTTGGCTGGAGAGAAGGAAGGCTGGCGTTGTTGTCAGAGGAAGCCAGTGATCTGTAAAAGCCCCAGCAGAGCTTTGATAATTAGAGCCTTTCCTCTTCGACACTCCCACGATACCATCCCAGCACCGCAGGAATCAAATGAGATGATGCTTCACATTAAACACTGTGATTAAAAACTAAGTTATGGGAATGAAGTGGAGTTTGTTTTCCATTAGGGCTGTTCAATCAAGCAGGAGTGAATGAAAAACAAATTTTTTCTTTTAATCCTCATCATACAAAGAACAAACAATATTCATGTTAATCACTTGTTAATCCAAATCCTTTTTACTTTATTCATTTATTTGTATCCTTGCTTCATTATGTAGTAGTGTTGATGTGGAGTTCACTTGTTAACATTTCATCATATTTATACATCATAAAACACATGTCACAAGCAAGCTTTGGTAATTGAATGTTAAGGAAGAGCAAAGCAATGAATCAATAAAATTAGGTAAATTATATGTTGGCACCACAAAGTAAATTATCCACCATGTTTGATTTATGTACATGTTTATTTCTTGATCATTATTTATTCTTAAATTTTATTTTTGCATATTTTTGTTGTTTATTTATTAATTATGTGATTTGTTTCAGTCAAAACTTTGTATGTATCAGTTTAATAAGGTGGTTTCTGAACGTTTTAATGATTAATAATTTTTCATTATTTCATTTGGGGAAGGGCAGTGCTCAAAAAATCGATATGGCAATACATCATAATGTGCTCCTGTCAAATACATATATTGATGCAGATGTTACAGAATCGATATGTCTGCAAAGCTGTCATGACAGTTTTTAAAGACAATTGACCTACGGTGCAGCTCACAATAAAACAATACCCATAGCTCTGGGATTAAAATATGTATGTATTTAGGATCTCTGAGGACCTGAATTGATGCATCTGACTTATGACTCTGCTGTTACTCTCAACAATAAATAATAATAAATGAATCCTGTGTAGGACATGGTCATTATCCTGAATCAATGTATATCAGGATATGTATCATATCGTGGCCTCCAGCCGTAGTGTTTGGTGGTGGGGGGTGTTGATGGTTATTATTCTTCTTTATAGGTCTGCAGTTACTGAATCTACACATTATACATTTTAACTTATCTTATTAAATTATCCTAGTATTGTCAACTAAATGTTTGCCTTCAGCCAAACATTGACATTTCCATCATTTATACATTTTTAATTCTTGTTCAGCTGATGTGTTGTGCACTTCTTAAAACAACTTTCTAGGCTGCCTATGTAATCGGTATTAGGTTAAAGAAAGTCTCCGGGAAACTTCATGGAAAATTATCAGAAAATAAAATAACTATTAAATGAGTCACCATGATGATCTTATGGGGAACTCACAAAGCCTACCCATAAAAAAACCCCAAAAAACTGAGCACCTCCAACTGTTCTGAACGGTCTTCTCTTGTAATGGAGTTTTTCTTCAAATGTAGTGTGATTGATTGATTGATTTCCAAAGTGCTTATCCTCTACACGAGCAATCAAACAATTACAAAGTGTGCAAACAGTCTTTATTTAATAACTTGCCAAAAGCAACGTGTAAAAAAACAAAACAAAATCAGTGACACACAAACGGTCACCGAGTCCAGGTTTTTAAACAGAACGGAACAATGTACAAGTGCAAGTAATGAAGCTTTTGTAATGGTTTACATAACGCTGTTACATAAGTTAATAAGTATGTACATTAGTGACAGTCACAGCCTTTCCTCACAGTGCTTAGAGTTACACTCAAAACAGATTCCTCCTCACCTTTCTTTCTTTCTTTCTTATCGTTTGTTTTTTTAAATCTGCAGATATTTTTGAAGGTGGAGGTCTTATTTCTAATTATAAAACAAAGGGTTAAATCATAAAGCAGGCCTCTGACAGAATCATATCTTTAACAGTCATTATATATATATAAAAAAAAGAGATGACATCAGATAAAAGAGAGCTTATATCTGGGAACAAGAGAAAAACCAAACCACACACACACATAACAAATGAAGCATCCTGTTTAAATAATCCTCTTTTAAATTTTCACTCAGGGGAACCTGACAGAGGTCCAAACCCACTCTTGGGCTTCACCCCGGTCTGATGAGAGCAGATGTTACTTTTTAACATTTCCTCTCTCCTCGTCGTACAGTCATGATGTTCCCAGCCGTCTCTCTCTGGACCTGCGGGCTTGGAGCCGCCTGATTGGCATCTTGATTGGCTGCTTGTTGAACTTTTCCATTATTTCTCTGATTCGGGACAGGTTGGTGCGGCCGATGAAGAAGTCGCACTTGGTGGCGCCCATCTCGTAGCCCACTTCGCACTTCTTGGTGGTGACGCTGTAGCCCTCGGCTCTGGCGGTGACTCGGTACTCCCCGGGGTTCAGCAGGCGCCAGTAATCACCATCAGCAGCTTCAAAAACAGCAGACAAACACAAGATTTTTGCACTCAGGTTTGTGGTTCGCTATTGCTGTTGAGTAAGATGTTGAATGCCAAATATAAACTTCTGCTACACAGCAAGGAACTCACCAAACTTTCAACAGCATTTTGAATTTGAAGTCCATTTTTTAATAGATGTATTGCAATGTGGAGGACTTTTTTGGCTGAATGTTTGCATGGAAGATGCTTTAGATGTAAGATTTAAGGCTGTAGAGATAGAAGCTACTAACGATACTTAGGGTATAGCTTCATGAGATGCTCCACTTCCTCATTTTAGCGCAACAGATTGGCTTCTTGTCAGATATACATTTTCAAAATAAGACTTCTAACCAAAATTACAACTTCAATCTGATAAGATTTTGAATTTATTCTTGTAAATTTCCGTCTTCAATCTTGTGAAATGATGACATTAATCTTGAAATCTTAGATTTTTCCCATCTCGACCGTGGCCCCAACACTCCGTCGTTAATATGGACCTTGTTTCCCTCAGGGGTTTATGTAAAGGGGTGCTTCCAAACATAAAGTTAAAGGTAAATCAAAACAAGCTCCGCCGCAGCAGCACTATGCAAATGTTGTCCTAGAAAGCTAATTTTAAACAGCTTACAAAGCAGCAGATGCCACAAACGTTTTTTATCTAAAGCCTAAAATTAAAGTTGAAATGTTCTTTTTGTTCTACTTTTTGGGAGGAAGGTGTTCACTGTTCCTGCTTGGACTTTTAAAAATAGCTCTGCTTTGTCATGTCGGATTTTCTGCCTGTGTGAGACCTGAGAACACTTGTGCTGTGTTGTGCTGTGTTTGACTCACTCACTTTAACAACAGAGCGGATTACTTCTGGTCATCCGAACGCCAACCTGACATGACACCTGACACATTTGAACTTCTACTGAGACTACAGAAATATGATGGATGGTCTCATGTTGTTGTTTAGTCTTTCCTAACAGTTACACCAGGGCCAGGTTGTTCAGAAGTAAGAAGCTCACTTATTGGACCAAATCTTGACAACGGGTACTTCAGAAAGAATGGATACAATCAGGTGATCCGATGTACATTTTTATCCAGATAAAACTTTCAGTTTGTGTTGTTCACATCTTTGAGTACTACTACTTTGACCACAGGGGGGGGCGACAAAAACAAAACAAAAAAAAGTATAAAATGATTCACAGGAGCTTTAAATATTTAATTTCAAACAACTGTCAGTATCTTTATTTGTTTTTTTGGATTTTGGCGCCTCCTGTGGACAAAATATGTTGTATGCTGTCCCATTAGAGCACTGCTAATCTAGATTTGGTAATCTTAGAATATCTGTATTTGGAAAAGTTAGGGTATTCTTTGAAAAACCAGGATACAAGTGAGCTGGTTCACCTGATCCTGGATAGGGAAAAAGTGGATTTTTTTCTTATCCAAATTAAACCTGGCCCAGGCCACCTGTTCCTCTGTTAGCCTGAAAAGCAGACGGGATTCTAATTGTTTCCTAAAGTTATTCAGTATGCAGCTGGTGAGCTGATGAATGCTTTGTCTGGCAAACACCTTTCTGGTAACAATGCATCCAGGCTGTTGTCCCCGTTTCCAAGACCAGAGAACAAATACTTAAAAAAATGTCTGTCTGTGGAGGTTTCAGCAGCTCAAAAGACGATTCAAAACAGCTGAAAATAAAAAAAACTAAAAACTTAAATCTCTGCAGACCGCTCCTGAGAACAGTAAGGTATCCAAGAAGAAGCATGACTTCTACTAAGTTCCAGGAATAATATCGGCTAATGTCCTCTTTGGACATTTGATTTCACGCTCTGAGAACAGAACTACTTTGGTTCCGAAGGTTGCATTTTTCAGGCATCTGCAGAGATTACCTCGAGGACGCATGATCAGTAAGCAAATTCAGAGCAGACACCGCCTGTGACTGTGATCTGAGTCAGACCCTTAACCTGCAGCGCTGCTAAAAATCACCAGCTGCTTTTGTTTAGGCCTACTTATTCCAGCTTACTCTGAAATACTGAAACACTGTAAAGTGAGACACTTCTGAGGATTCATCTGAATTATGTAGACGGTTGAGTCAGTGGTGCACTGAACTAACCTCTAAAGCTTTGTTTTACAAAATTACTCACAAAACTTCAGAGATGAAGGAAAAATGTCCACATGAAACTAATACCATGACAGATCTTTGTGTCCAGACAAATTACAACAAACAAAGAATGTGTAAGAGTCAAGTGAAGTCTACCTGTGCAAACATCATGGCTGATTCCCTCCACAGCGATGGTGGCATTAGCAATCGGGCGCCCTTGCAGGTCCCGCACCACACCTTTGAGCCCGCGATGCACCTGCACATAAAAAGCACATCTGACTTAACCACGAGTGAATTCTGTCCCCCAAAAAAACCTCCGATTATGAATTTAACACAACATATATATTAAATGAAGTGATGATATGATGTATAATGTATAAGCTTCGGTTTAACAGTAGAGTTAAGCCCGTTTTTTTTTTTTTTTATCTCTCTCCTCCTCATCCGTCGTCAATATTTTAACAAACGCTGTATCCCAACACGGGGGCGGGTCCTCTGAAGTCTGTCACTAGAGAGAATATAACATAAGCAGATGACAAGCTTTTCGTATTTCAAAAACTTTTCTCAAAGTACGGGAGGAGAATACAGACTTATGCTGCAGGAATCTGGAGGACAGGATCCTTGTGCACTGGTCAGTAAATTATTTAAAGACTCAAGCTAAATACATCAACTCATCATTTAGTAATACTTTTACAATTTACATCATCTCTTACTTACACATACAAAATGATTTATTATAGAGGTTTAAAACGTTGATTTCTTGGTAATCTCAGATTATGGATGATTACGGAGGTACTCTTGCAAACTAGTTGTTCACCATGTGTTGAAGAGAAACAGCACAATTGATTTGCCAAATTGTATCTCAAATATTCACAAGACGCCTGCAAAGTGAAGATAAATATTTGAGTTTACAAATAAACAATGGCACCTGAGTGCATCGTTAGTTTTTCTTTCTGTAGGTTAACACTTTTCCCATCTGCTCGCAGGGTGTTGCTAAAGCATAAAAATACAACAGTGCAAAAACTAACATTCAAATATGGACTGCCATATTCCTAAAATAACTCCTAAATGATAACATAGCATGTGTTTAGGTGATAGTTGTGTGTTTGTGTGAGCTGCGGGGGCTGCCTCTCCTCTGTACACTACCTGCTCCATGAAGACGAGCAGAGACTCGCGATTGTTCTCCCACTCCTCTGGCAGCTCGCTCTCGTGAGGGAATTTGTCACAGCCCACATACATCGACAGCTCAAAGCAGTTGGTGTGCAAATAGCTGAAATCATTCAAACCTGCAAAGAAAGAGAACGTCATCTGTAGGCAGTATTTAGGTGAGGTCAGAATTGATGTTTTTTTTGTCAGCCAGAGTTTTTGGAGATTTGACAGTCTGGCTTTCTTTGAATTCTTACATGATGCTTGGAGCTTAATCTTACAGGCTTTGAAACAGCCAAAGGGATCCATGCCTAAATATGCAGATGTGCTCATGTGTGTTAAACAAAGCGACAGCTCGAAGGCTCAGGGTGGAGCAGGGAAATCCTGCAGAACACAGTGTTAGGATATGTGAGAAAACACACAGGAAAGCTTTTGGACCCTTACTGCCAGCCGCTGTGTGCCAGGACGCCCCGTTGATGGTGCCGTCCTCTTTGGCAAAATCTTCAGTGTGGCAGACCCTTCTGTTAGCATCAGTCATCAGGCGGTGGGTGGAGGCGTAGGAGAAGGCCAGCCAGCGGAAGACGTGGTCGTCCGGGGTAGGGGTGGGCTCCCTGGTGACCCCTTGGGAGCGGGTTTTGTCGTACGGGAAGGTCACCACCAGCTCCCCGCCCTGGAGGTTGCCACCCAGCACAAAGGGCATCTTCTCCATCCACGCAATCAGAGCGCGTGTCTCCACGGCAACCTGCAACGAGGACACAGGAGAGGCGAGCATAATGTGATTTGTGCAAATAATCTCAGCGCTGTGATTGCTAAATTAACTCCCTCGTGCTGGAAATAATTTCACTGCGATTTGCTCTCAAGAGGGAGTGAAAAGGGGCTGCTAACACATTCCTGCACTGTAAACTAATTTCATGAATATCTTTTCATAAAAAAGGGGACACAATTTCATCAGGAGTGTTTGCCTGTTTAAAAATCAAGATGTGGATAAACTGGCTCTGCTGTTTGGGCTTAGATGATTAAAGCAGCCCTCCTCTCTCTCAGCTCTGATTGGACCGATCGGCGAGGCAAGTGGGTACGCTTTTCACAGCCTGCAGAGCACAGATGGGGAACCCGGCTCTGCAGCTGCAGCAGCTATTTCGGAGGATCTGTGTGACTCACACGTTGCCCTCGGTAACGTCAAACCACTCGTGAGGATGAGCTTTAAATAGATGGCCGGGTGTATTTTTGCTCACGACAGCTTCGTCACAAATAGCTAATGAATGCGTTTACGCTTCTCCCAAAATAGACAGCGCTGATATGCCAATGTGTCTTTATTACCCTTTTCAAAAAGGGGGGTGGGGGATCTTCACCTAGGGTTTGTCTGTTAAGTTTAAAGAGCTGCAGAACAAGAACATGGAGTTCTAAATTGTCACTAATGAGAACTGAATGGCAAACACACAGTTGAAGGAAATGTGAGACAACATTTTATGCTGCATCGTAAATTAGCCTCCATCTGGACTTTAAAGTATCAGTAAGGTTAATAACATGAGAATAACTCTGAGAATATGCAGCCTACAGAATTTGAGCAAAAATACCACAAGCATCTGAATGGTTGCAGTAATTTCCCTGTAGGAATGCTTGAATTAGCACTTTTAATGCATTTTAATACGACTAAATCCGACCAACCGAAGCGTTTTTGGACTGGTACCATTCCGGGATGGGCACATGGTGGTTCAACATTTTACGGGGGATCCACTTCTTGGTCTCGGCCTCCCACAGTATTGAGTTGAGATCGGGGAAGTTATGGTGAATGTCTATGCCATCGTTGCTCCATCGACCCAGAGACCAGCCACTGAGCTCTGAACCCTGTGAACAAGGACAAGAAATAAAAGGAGCACAATGTGGAGGTAACTCAGGGGAAAGGGTTGTTGTTAGTGTCAACAACAGTTCAATGATTCAACAATGAGCCATTCAGAATAGTTGAATTGACTTGATTGGATGTGTGTAGCTGTCATCAGTAGCAGTTCTTGGTCTATGACAGGTGCAGTGAAAACAGGGAATCCATAACACTTAAAAAAATGAATGCAGACCAGCTGATCTCAAAGCCTATCAGTCCACATACACACAACAACCAATCAGAGTGTTGTTGACCATTTAAATGTCTGTCATCAACGGTCATCAGGAGTGGAGATAAGTGGTGTTATTATGATGATGGGCCGATTGCAGCGGCCTCTGATAACATCAGAGGCCGCTGCAATCAGCTGGAAAACCAAGAAACACTCAGAAGACACACAGATTGGCAGAAAAAGGTCAACAATGGAGACAAAACACACACATATAAAGTGCTTTTTAGGTACATCAGAAGCTTGATTGAAAAAGGTGAAAGTAGGGTTTTGAATATGTGTGGGGAGTTAGTTTCAGAGGCAGGGTGCTGCTATAGAGAATGCTTCTTCCCTCAGGTTCGGTGCTTGGTTCTGAGTTGTGGAGACAAGAGGTCGGTGTTGGAAGAACGGACGCTACAGGTGAGTGCAGCAGAGGAGGTCATGAAGTTGGATTTAGCTTTGCTTAATACATCAGACATTGTAAAAATAATAATGAGAATTTGACTGTTTAAAGCTCCTGTGAGTTACTCGCTGTTTGTGTTGAATTTGGCGCCCCCTGTGGACACAGTGCGATAATTGACCACTTTGCTGATCCTGTCCTGTACATGTGTAATTAGTTGTGTTTTCTGACAGAAATATCTCATCATGGGGCGCTGGTTGCGCAGTGGTTGGTGTACGCTGGGTTCGAGTCCGACCAGTGGCTCCTTTCCCGCACGTCGTACCCCACTCTCTCTCTCTCTCCCTGATTTCCGACTCTATCCACTATCCTATATCTCCAATAAAAGGCACAAAAAGCCTTTTAAAAAAAATCTCATCATATTTTGTTTTAAATGTGCAACTCACAATAAATCTTAGTAACGTGCTGTTAATCACTTGTCTGACACCTACCTCATGGCAGAGGTGACAGGTATAAAATAACTGTGTAGAAATATTTCATCTTCATGCTGATGCTCTCACTTGTTTTTGTAGGTCATATTAATGCATCACTATTCATTTCGTCTGTTTCATTACCAGCTAATAAGCTGTTAACGGCTTTAAGCTAAAAAATGGGCTTTCTGCAGCGCCTTGACAGGCCTTGCTGGGTTGAAAAGGCTCATCTTTTTTTTTTTTTAGCTGTGTGTGTTCATGCAAATTTCAGACAAGCTGACATGTTAATTAGTTGTTCGGGGCACTATTAGCTTTTGTGAAACAAAGCGTTACAGCATGTACAGTGCACTCACATTTGGGCACCAAAGGACATGATGTCATGTAGCTTTTAACCTCCTTTACTTGTCTTTCTCTATTTGTGTCCCAATAATATTGTGCCTTTAATCTTGCAGGCCTGCAGCTGATTAAAGCCCATGTGTGTCAGAGGTGTTTTACTGAAGAAGAAGCTGTCCACATCCACTTCTGTTTACTTGCATAGGACATATAAACCAATTTTGCAACATACACCTACACCATATGGATGGTATATGAGCAGAAGCCCTTCCAGGCAGATATTTGTGCCTTTTCCACCAGAGGCCGAGGGCGCACTATGAGGTCACTAATGCAGACCTACCGCTTCAAAGGCCTTCTCGTACCCATCGGGGTTGACAGATGGCAAAAGATGGATCCTGGTTTCCTCCACCAGGTGACGGATCCGCTGGTTGCCGGACAGATACTCCAGGCACATAAACTGCATCAGCAGGAGGAGAAGCTCTCGCCCCAGCACCTCGTTACCATGGGAACCCGCTGTGTAACGAAACTCCGGTTCACCTGGTCAGCAGGTTCACAGATAGGGAGAGATGGGGAGAAGATAGAGGGGGATTAAATATGCACTCCAACTCCACGGAGGGGGGTGGGGGGGGATTTATAGGAGCACAGTGTGACATCTCTGATGATATTGCTGCACATTAAATTGATCAATCACATCCTGTTAAATATACTCACCAAGTTCATGCTCTCCCGGGTTGTCGGATATCTCTATAGCGTACAGCTTGAGGCCACTGTGGCTCTTTCCTATGTTATAGATGCGGGTGATGTTGGGACACATTTCATTGACCACCTTCATAAGCTGTGGAAGGTCAGTAAAGAAAAAGAATGATTCAATGGCCCAACAAAAATATGAAGAATCATCGTGTAAACTTTGGGAAGATGATGAGCTTAGCATACTTTAGCAAAGTAAAAGTTTCAGTAACTTCAGCACGTACACTAAATTAAAGCGAAGAACACACTCTGTTCCCTCAAGAGGCTATCATCTATACTAATGAGGAATTAATTTGTGAATTATAGGTTTAAAGTCAGCAAGAAAATAATCAAACTCTTCCTGTGATATATCAGAGACTGAGTAGGAGACAAATGGACTTGAGCTTGTGTCGCACTTTTCTAGTCTTCTGACGACTCAAAGCGTTTTTTACTCCGCAGGTAACAACTACCCTTCGACACACTGATGGCCGAGGTTGCGTAACGTCATCATGTAACGTGATGAGTAGTAACAAATTCCCACACAGCCGACGAAGCAACGGGAGAAACTTGGGGTGAAGTGCCTTGCCAAAGCACACATCGGACATGTGGTTGGAGGAGCTGGGGATCGAAACCCCCAAACTTATGGTTTAGAAATGACTCTACCAACTGATCCACAGCCGACCCCCAAGTATCCTTATTCAAAACAGATCCTCTGAATAGTACATGAGTATCAAGTAGATATATGAGTATTAGATTGATTGTACGGTGATTAGTTCATTGATGATTTGAAATCATAATTTTAATTCCTGCAGTCATTTCTGAAATTGATTATTGATTCCACTTATTTCTAATCATCAGTTGGATATATTTCTGGATGAAAGATACTTGCTACAATAAGTTCTACTGTTGCTTATTATTATATTGCTAAGACAAAGAATACAAAAACACATGAATTATTTTAAACTGTGCTTTTGAATCTGTAAAATCTGAAAACTTGTAGCCTCAGAATAGTACTAAATAATCTCCATTTTACTGTTCAATTCAAAAACAGAATCCTGTTGAGTGCTGTGTCATGGACCAGATTCAAAAACAAGCCATCACTGAAAGACACCAGCAAAGGTTATAATGAAGACAGGCTCATGGAAGAGTTGATTAAAATAGCAACAACTGTCATTACCAGAAAAAGAAGGTGCAGCCGGGAAAGGACTAACAAGCTGTTTAGTCTCTCGTCAAGCTGCTGCAGAAATCATTAACCAAACACGAGCGATGGCGCTTTAATGAATCCCGGGGTTATATTTACAAGGATCAATGTCGCATATTTGTTCTTAAAGGTAATGTTTTTACACACATTATTATCACTTAGGAGTGTTCAATTTCTTAAGTTCATCCTAAAGAAACATCATTAAACTGAGTTTGAGTTAGAGTCTGCTTGTGCACAACTAACTTTGTACTTAGAATAATCCTTCAGAGCGCTGTAGGCGTCTAGGCCCGGGATGTGCAAGGGTAATCAAAGGTAATATGCCATCTTCCTCTTTGAAAAATGTGGATAATATTCCCTCTTTGCACCTCCTTTATAATGTCTGACAATATCAGTATTCCCAGGGAGACAACGTTATACGATCAGTTGTGATCTCAGGAAAAGAGAGTCCTTAAGCGATATAAGACATTATTATTTCTCACTTCTCTCATGGGGCATGCACTTTATTTGATAAGCTTCAATGGGCTATTTCAAAATATTAAGGTTTGGGCACAGCCTTGTTTAAACTGTTGTGGATGAGGAGGGGGTTGCACCATGTACCTGCTTGTAGAAAAGAAATGTCAAGCATGAAAGAGCTTTTAAAAATAGTCCTTCCTTTCTTTGTGAAGGTCTATTGAGACTGCACACTCTGCTTGACACACATTAGCTTAAACCCTAAACCCCTGCAGACAGAAAGTAATGTAAAGTCTATTTAATTCACTCTGACAGTCTTTTTTTTTTCTGTTTCGCCAGAGAAGAAGCAGCTTTTTGTTTTTTTAACAATGAGCCATACGTTCGGAGCATTCACTGGCATTGTGGGTCATAACAGCAGTTTGAGGCACCTGTAGGCAACATGTTTGGAACAGGGGGAGCTGCTGCGTTATAGAAGATTATCATGCACAGCACCGTGCTCTCAGTCACAGTGTTAGCGGTGACAAATACAGCTGTCCTCCTGCTCGTTACAAAACAGGCTACTGCTCATGACAACTATATGAATAAGTAATGCCACGACCCAGGAGATGCTTAATGCATTTTCATGTGGCTGGCATCGCTTGCTTAATTTGTTTCTGTTGCACACTTTGTTCTTGCAGAGGACACAACTCGTCTGCTGTTGGCTAACAGTTAAAAAGAGATGTTTTATTGCTCCATGCTCTGGTGTCTTTGCTGAATAAGAAATAAGAGCCGAGGTTTCAGTATGTGGGATGACACCTGCTGTTTTCAGTTGTCAGCTGTGACTCACCTGTCTCATTTCCTTGTAGCTGTGGTGTCGGAAGTCCAGCTTGTCAGTGGTTATGACTTCATTACGCCTGTGGTAGTAATTATTTGGATCTAAGGGGGTAAAAAAATATAGTTATTAATATTAAGAGATGTAAGGAAGGCTAAAGGCATCTCTGTTTAAAACTGGTCGCAACACAAAAAATGTTTTTCAGATAAAATAGAGTTCTTTTTTATGTGAAGATAAAACAATGCTACATCGAGGCTGCATCTTGAGGGTGATTTTCTCCAGGTATTTGTGAGACACTGAATCCAGTTGAAGTCACAGATCTGTAACGCTGATGGCTTATCATTGACAAAAGCATGGCACATCAGTTTGTAAGTAAGTTTGTTGATGGGACAGAATTTTTCAACTAAGATGGGAGGTTTTTTAATTTTACTGCGATAATGAATTTCTTCAAGTAGAAAAGCGAGAATGTGCAAAGGGATCTTTGGCCCGCTAAGAGCGAAGGGGGACAAAGTTGGGAGTCAATGGAATGATTTCAAGTTGACAGACGAATCGTTTTTACCTTGGTGGATCGTTTACCCATCGCTGACCCAACGTTTGCGATTATACTGCATTGCATTGGGGCAAACATTTAGCAGGGTTTTCATTTTTGCATAACATCCTTGTTATTTTATCCAACATTTGCTGGGTCAACACAAGGTTAATATCTGTCTGAACAAGGCTTTTATACTGATCTGATATTTCTACTCCTCTGTTGAATTATTTATGTGTCTGCAGCACTGTCCATACAAACCCGTCACCTGGCATAGGACAGCCAAGGATCTCCACTCTCATACAGATGTTGCCGATGGTGAACCAGGAGTTTGGGTTGACTCGAATGTATCGGGCGACCACGGGAACCGGGAAGATGTTCCGGACTGGGATCTCCTTCTCTCTGTTTCCAATGAAGATCTACTGAGGCAAAGACACCAGACCAGATGGTGAACAAACGGCAACATTTTTTTTGTAGCAAAGACTTAAAACTGATTGTAGCCAAAAAGCAACAATATGTAACTTTTCCAAATTTTAATAGTAGAACAAATTGCTGATGCTAAGAGATGGATGAAGCTTAGAAGAGAAAAACATACAAGCAAGAAGCAAGAAGCAGGACTAGATTAAAAAGTAAATATTTAACAGGATTTTATACTTTGGCGAGAGCTTCACGAAACAGTAGGTTGGAAGTCTGAAGCCCAGCTGGTTATAATGCTGTTAGATGTGTAAGAGTTTGCAAACACCAGGCTGTAGATGCTAGCAAAGTAATACTTGTGGGAAATCCAGTATATTACTGTATGTCAGTTAATTTGGTTATTTGGCTTCTCACAGTTGTGAGAATTCTATCGAGGAGGAGGCGTAACAGCACTATGTATGTTTTACGACAGCGCAGTTGCACTCTGAGACCTTCGATAGGCATCAAAGCACGCAAATCCAACTTCCTATACATTGTTGCTTTAATAATGTAATTTTTCTTTAGGAAAAGCATTATTAAACATTTCTTAACCAGTTTACAGATCATGTGAGCATTTTGTTACCACACCCAAAAGCACATCATGCTTTATCCTAACTTTTGCTCTAAAGGGAAACAAAGTAAAATAAAATTAAGAGGGAGACTTTAAGATTTGATGGCTTGAGACCATAAAGTCGTTAGGAACATTTTTACTTTGATAAAGATAAATTGAGAAGTAGGGTCATTTCCTCATAAATGTTTTTTGCAACCCCTGCATTCGCCCCCTGCTGGCCATTTGAAAAGAGGCAGGATTAGGGCACCAGTACATTGACTTCATCCCTAACACATTAAACCTCTTTCAGAGGGTTTCCACTTCCTATAAACAGTCTATGGCAAGAATTCCAATTGTCATCCATTAAACTGGACCAAATCTTAAAACTAAACATAAATTAAAAAAGGCCTCATGTTTTCAGGAAAGAACGCACAATGAACGTTAAAGCATATTTTGAATTAGAGTAAAAAACTGTTGACATGTAAACAGAACAGTTAAAAGCAAATTATCCAAACAACCTTTTAACAAACATTCGTGCCCCTGCAGAATGTCACTAAACCTTTCTACCTCTGGGAATTTATTGTAAATTTTAACGCCCACGGTTATGGTTCCTCTTTGCACCTTTTGGCATTTTGAAAGACAAACAGCACAGTTTGGCATTTGGCATGAAAGGTGGGCGAGTGGGTGAGCGGGAAGCTTGTAGCAGAGACTAAATTACTGAAGGGACATTAGCTCCCACATAACATGACATCACGAGCAGAGGAGGAGTATGGTTACACCTATATTATATTAGGAAGCTATGGGGAAATGATTATCCATCAACTATCTATTCAATCTGATCTGCCACTGTCATTTATGAGAGGATTCTTATTATTTTTAGTATCCTGAAGCTGAATTCATTGATGCAGCTTTAGCTTATTGTCAAGGCATTCCTGTATTTGATTTCTGTCTATTCAATTAAATCAAGAGCCAGAAGTTAAGAAGAGACGCAGCTCCGACAATGAAAATGAGTTTCCCATCTGCTTGAGGATCATCACTATTTACTCTTGCCTTTCAGCTCATTAAGCTTGGAAATAAGATGAGATTTAAATCACTCTCTGAAATTACGCTCAAGCGGGAATTCATTTTTCCATCAGGTTCCAGTGAAGCCTCCTAAAGGCTTCTGCCAAAGTGTGTTTACATAAAGAATGGATGATAGTTCTTGAGCTAGAAAGGTTTTAAAGTGCTCACATAAGTACCCTCTTTGTAGATAAGTAAATAGATCGTTGATTTAAATGTCGCCGTAGTTACTCACCAAGTCTTCTGAGCCATTCTTCAGTGTAATCCAAGTGTGACTGTCGTTGCTCACCATCACCTTGTACGAGGTCACCCAATCACTCCTGAAAAACGGAGGAAAATCAGGTCACGAGAGGGAGAAAAGTATATTTCCTCTCAGGCTGGATTTAATGCAAATGTGGCTCTGAGGGGACTGTGAGGGAGTCCCCCCAGCACACATCCAGACGGGTTCATTCTCGCAGGGTGAAAGTCTGTTTCAAAATAGAAAAATGGAGGTCAGAGAATTTAATATAAACTCGTCACTTGAGCCTTTTATTAATGATTTTTTTTTAATTTGAGCAAAAGTTAACTTTGACAGGAAACAAACTTTCTTGCTCTTTCGCAGAGAATTAGAAAGATGAGTAGACTGATCCCACGTTCATGTCTTCATGATAAATATGGATCAACATGGATTTAGCTGAGCAAAAATAATAGACATTAAGAGAAGCAACATGCCGGTCCATGTCTACCTTACACATACTACAGCACAATTGAAACTTGCTTGATCACATTGAATTTAATATCTGCTATGGTTGTTTATTCAACCTGAAATCCATTGTGTGCAGTAATAATGTGCCTTTAAAAATCTTACAATGCATTTCTAAACACTAATCACATTAATAACTACCATTAATAACACCTATAGATAGAATAATAAGGGTTTTAGCAACCTGAGGAATTCAATTATGCCATATAAACTAAATAAAAGGGCAGTTTCATTGTCTGAAAGTTAACAGTCAACTGAATAAACCAAATACTATAGAAGTCTCATGACATAAGAGCTCTGGGGCTAATTACATTTCCATGCTTCTACTAAACCGGTCCCTGGAGGCTTGAGCAAATCCCAGCTGACATTGGATGGCTTAAGAAAAACACCAAACTATAACCAATTCAGAATGTTCCTGCTTTGAGGTAACTTAACCACAGTGCCACCCATAAGTATATTCAAACGCAAAACCAATAATGGGATTTTGACAAAAATTGCAGACTTCATTTTCACTGTAAGAGTTTCCAAAAACTAAGTTTCAACTGTATAGCAAGTCATTTTGAGTAAAGAATAAGTGAAATATAAACAGAAAAATCCAACCTTTTAAAAGTACAGCATGGTCCTGTAAAAATAAAAACCAAATGTGAAGTAAATAAAAGTTGAAGTTTATGGGCTTAAACTTTGAAACACCCTGATCCTGTCCTTAACTTAACTAAAAGGTGAATAACCAAAAATAAAAAGGTGTACATTCGAAGATGACTTAATGGGCCATTGTTTCTCACTGTGTGCAGTATGTAGGTTGGCAGATACTCCCAGTCCTGGATGAAGACATCAGTGCTGAGCTGAACCAGCCAGTTAAGAATTCCCAGTTCTGTTAATTAAAGCTCTGTTATAGACAGAAGCCCCTGAGCTGGCACCACAGACGGTTACATGCCCTGCAGAGCTAATTGTGGAGAAATGTCTGTCTCAGGCATCGGTGTTTTCTGCACCCGCAGATCGTGCCGACCGTGAAGAAAAAAAAAAATTACAAACACAGCCTGGTAAAGAAATTCCCCATGCTCTCTTTGTACAGCACGAAGCAGTTTCCACACGTCTGTGCCACCCTTTCCAATTAAGAAGTGCAAAGGCCAAGTTGTCAAATACGATTCTAAAGTAAAGTCAGGGTATGTAGATGCTGAGGAAAAAATGTGAACACAAGTAGTTTTATTCTTTTCATTAGAGGACCATAACTACTACTTTTGATCCAAGTTTATAACTTTATTGACTCATTAATCTTTGTTAAACAAATGGCAGATGCTTAATTAGACCAAGACTTTAGCTACTCTCTAAGATGGCATACTTTGTAAGTTACAAAGAGTTTGAATGTAAAATTTCAGCTTGTTTGGTCTAACTCTAGGTTGTGATAGACATATTTTAGTTTGGGTAAAAAAACTACTTCAATATATAATTCAAAGTGTGGTATCTGAGGAAAAAAAAAACACTGTCTTAAGAATGGTACATGACCCAATGGTTTCCGTCACATACTCTAAAGCTAACCAATCGTCCCCAAACTGGACAAAAGTGAAAACCAGTGATTTTAAGTGTAGAGTACCAACACATAAAAGGTGCTTTGCTACAGTTACAAATGATACTATATATGCTTCACCTCAATAAAAGTAGTTAAATAATCATGGATTTGTAGGCAGGGTCTAAATACAGTGTCAACATTTAAAAAATATATCTGCATACTTACAAAAGACCTGGCACTGATGTTTTGATGAGCTGAGGCAGTGGGAGGTGAGATTATACCTGAAGCTTTGTATTTGGAATTTAAGATAAGTTGTCATGGAGACCTTATCCTGCTGTAATTTACACCATAAAAAGCTCAGAGCCTGCTAGCATAACACCATTGCATGACTGAGCCTCTGCTGAGCCCACACTGTTAGACCCCACGTGGGCCAAGTCTGCTCTGATTGGTCTGCCGATCCACTCTGTCGTTATTCGTCAGTTGCTCAGCACTCGGAAATTTCAACATGAGCTGCAGGGCTTGCCACAACGAGCCAACGGGCTTAGATCAGTGATCTCACACTGACAATGACGTTGGACTGACAAGTTTTTATCGAGGGGGGCTAGAACCGAGCGTTACATGCAGCTTATGCTACAGCTAACAGGAGGACGTAGGAGAAGCCGCGTTTCCGCGGACTTTGAATTTTTGCACATAGATGTGCCTAAACATGCACAGGACACTTGGAAAACACACTAAAGAGCATATAAAACCAGAAAAAGCATAATATGGGACCTTTAATCCCCAAACTGAAAACAGAAAAGAGCAAGCTCAGTTCAAGGTTGAGATCCATGTGGATGGAATTGAAAACCTTGTTTTGTATATATTTGAGAAGTCAAATTTCCCAGATGGGTTTAAAGAAAAATCCAGTAATTAATATTGCTGGAACAATCATAAGCGCGTGTGTACTTGTGCCATAACTGAATTGATTTTTGGCCATTTTCTTTGTTTGGTTTTTAGATAGTTACAGAGCGACATGACTTTATCATAAAGCAATGGAATTTGTCAATTTTTCCATGAAAGTTCAATGTGGTGGAAAGAAGAGCATCAGTCAAAATCATTTTTACACATTTTCTTCATTTTATGTCTTTGTTGTTGCAAATCCTTTTGTAATGAGGACTGTCGGTCATATATTTAGTTTAAAAAAAGGTTCGTACAATGCTGCATGTAATCCCTTGAACAATTTCTTCACAAAATTCCATTTTAAAATCTTTGCCAAAAGATATTAATTACATCCATGTGTTCTGTATTAAGTTAAAGGTGTGAGATGTTTCTTTTAATGTTCAGTAAAAGTTACTGTCTCAACCAACATTTTGGGCACAAAAAAATCAATCCTTTTCCAGTATGCTTTGACCTGAAAAAAGAATCCTCATCCTCACCCAGCTGCATTCACTCTGTGCATGTGTGCAGGGTTCATACTCACGACCAGAGGGAGCTCCTGCCTTGAGTGACGACCCCTGTGAACTTTGTCAGCCTCCTGGCATCCACCTCAAACCACTGCAGTGGGTCATCTCTCCCAGCGCACCAGGCCCCGTCATAGAGTCGTCTTCATAAAGGCCAGCCTGCAGCCACCAAACAGTCTTATGGAGCAGCATTTTTACTCTTGATGTCTAAGTAGAAACACTAACAAACAGTCCATGTTCGGTGCAAAACACTCATATCAGCTTTTTGTTAAAGCTTAAATACTGTTAGATGTTGACAGAGGAGAAGAAGAGGCTCAGAAGTTTCCATTTAATCCTCTGAAAATCTAAGTTTGCACTCTTATAAATATAAAAAATATGTATGTCAGCATTTGTTCATTCAACAGCTGAAAATGTATAATCATAGTACATTAACTCTACACCGCATTAAACCTGTGGCAGCTGGCTCTGTTAGTTTGAAGCTAATCTGTGTGAACTGTCATATGCTGAGAGGACACACTGTACATCTTTTTCATCCAAACGTAAACATTACAGTATGATGACACACTGCACTGTACATACTGATTAAACAGTCACTCTGATATGTGTATCTTTAGAGTGTATTTGAAGGACAACACATGTGCTTGACATTGACCGGCTCATTATCTAGAGATCTAAAACCACATTAACATAATCTCACTTCAAAGATAAATTAAAGGCACATTATGTAAATAAGGATGGAATTGGGGTGAAATCATTGTAGAGTTTCTGTACATCCATTAGAGGCACAAAATGATGTACGACTGAGTGTGTACTACTTTAGTTTTAAATTCAAAACCATAGTGTGTTTCTTAAAGCACACAGTTGGATTCTTTTGGTGCAGAATGGGGCTTTCAGAAAGGCAATAAATGAATGTAAATTAATCAACTATGCTATAGCCTGTATATAAAAATGGATGACACAACAGCTCCTCAAAAGTGAAGCCAAAACATTTGGAGCACTCCCCTACTGAACACAGTATAAGTCATTAACTTTGCCTCGTCCATGTTAACAGATCAGACATGGGTCAAACTATAAAAATCATCTAAATGATACAGTCAATGCTTCCAACCATAAGAAATTGCCACTAATGACGTACTCCTTGAGCTATGAATGCAAAACAAAAAAAAAAATGTTTGTGAGATGTAGAACAACAACAACTTCTGCCAAGGAGGGTCTGTTCTATGTCTGCTTTGATTGTCAGTACGTAGAAGATCTCAAAAACATGTTTTCAGATTCCAATGAAATATGAGGACGCTTTGGCCACGGAACAAGAGATTACTTTTTGGTGCCAATCAGCATCCAGGTGCAGATGAAGCACCTTTAATGAATTGCTCAGTGAATGAAAGAAAATTGGCACTCAAGACTCATAATTGAATACATGTGTTTTGCTGCAGGACAGGAATATGTTTTATAATTTTGTACATTCTGTTGCATTTTTACAATGAGGGGATGTGACCTTCATTAATCCCTGTTTTCTTTCAACTCTTATGATCAAAAGAAAGAGAAAATTATCACAGAACAGTTGGTGTCTGGAAACTAAACAAACTGTAGCAGCTACAAAAGTGGAAATTACTGTAGCCAAGTGGAAATTAACCAAGCTGACTGGGCAACACGCCTGATACAACAGGCAACATCTGTTTTCTATGTGTCTCTACTGATATACAGATAATTGTTCTCCAGATTGGACGTTATCTTTTTTTCCCCCTCTATGATCCCTGACAGACACTCGCACACACAACAAATCCTTTGTTTTGCTTGTTTCCTGTAACATAATACCTCGCCGTCTTGAGAGAATTAAGAGCATGTGTGTGTGTGTGTGTGTGTGTTTCATTAATTGTGCAGTTGGAGTCAGAGCAGTTCACCCTTCAAAAGATGAAGATAAAGCTGTGGACCGTATGCAGGCTAATAACCTCAAAGAACAGCTTGCACTAACAGGAAATAGCTCTTCTAACAGATGCCAATCCTTTTTATTAGGTCTGGGGATGTGCCCCTTGTTTGATGGAGACACTTTTACTTTCTCTAATGTGTTACCTTAAGGGTGTTAAGTTGAAGCCAAGTGGCAATTTTTAGGGTTGAAAAATGAAACCAATGTGAAAGTGAAAACAAAAAATGCAGTTCCTCTATTGTTCACTTTTAGTTGGCAGCAAAAGGCAAAGAATCCCCATAAGGTCCAATATTAAAATGCTTGTTTTCACAGCAGAAATAAACCTGTTTCCAACCTCGTACAAAAGATGGTTTTGGTCTCAATGGCAAATTTCTTTATACATATAAACTGTATGGGGGTGAATTCTCTTCATAGCGTATTCATTTTGATTTCATAAGGAGTTAAGCATACATTTTCATAAAATCTGTTGTAGTTGAGTTGACTGACAGGAGGGCCTTTGTAGCCATTTACCAGGAAACGTAAGGTCGGCTTCAATTAAAGTTCTTTGCCCGTTTCTTTATTGATCAAAAGTTAGTGAGAGATAGCATTTCCAATATGGCGACTGCCATCATTGGGCTTCATATCACATTTTCAGAATACCAATGGGTGACTTCAATGTGACCATATCCATGTTGTCAATGTTTGAATCAGGGAAATCATGTGATCCTTGTTGACTTATCTGGGCAGGCGTCTTTCCATAGACCTTAAATATGTCCTCATATTGATCCTGAAATCAAAAGATGCTATGTTTCCATCAATCTTCTATTGCATTGCTCCTTTTTTGGAAACACATGACTCCAAAGCTTCAAAAGAAAGGTCAGATTGCCCAGGACATAATGCAAGCCCAAACATTTCTGGTAAGTGTTCCCAAGCTACGCCAACACTTTACTTTACATACCTGAATGTTAAGACGACCTCTGTGTGCACCGAGGCCATAGCGTTTCGTGGTTGAAGCGTGAAGCTGGAAGTCATCAATCTTCAAAGTCTCCAGTCCCATGGGAGGGCATTCTAGGGTAAGGAGAATGATGAATTAGCTTGTGATGGTGATGTTATGAATCATGTGTTGTACTGCTTACTGCACAATATGGCTCCCGAGTCAGGGAGCATGCATTTGCTAATAGCTGGACTCAAAAGTAATGAGCACTTCAGACTTTGCACCGTGAGCTCAAACGTGTGAAGCAGTCCAGGCAGCATCTACGTTTTTTTTGTTTGTTACCAAGGCGATCTATAAATCAAACCTAATGAAATCAAAACATTGTGAAATGTCTAAATCAAAGTAGAATGTGGTTGTTATGCTAGCAACCAAATATCACCGATTTGCACCAAAACGAAACAACAATGAAGGAATTTGTTTCTTTGGAAGAGTCTTTTTCACAGCTGATTTCTTCACCTGCTGTTACCGCCTTACACTTTGATCTTGAAAGCAGACAAATGAATTGAAATGAGCGTCAGTGCATGAACAACCCATTTTGTCATATCCTGTCAAACCTGACTTCATAAGGAACTTATATAAATTCAATTAAATCCAACAGCATGCTAGTGGCAGTGATGACTAAACTGTTATGAGTTTCATAATGCATCAAACTTCATAGGTGATTAATGAGTTTACACTGTGAGCGCTTCTGTTTTGTCATTTTGGCACACTTTTCACAGCCATCTAGCTTCGCCCTGAATGTATGATTAAATTATTGAAATGACTAGAACAACATTATCAAAGGGAGAAAAAGAGACATTTCAAAATGCTGTCAAACATATTCAAAGGTATCAATAGATGGCTGTATAATTTCATTCAAATAATAGACAAGATTTTTGAACTGTTAACCAATAATGAAGACTTAATTTGTTTCTTTATGAATCCAAATAGTGTCACGGTAGTTAACCCATGGTTTGTTCACTAGTATCAGCGTTCAGAGGGCATGCATATATTAAATGCAAGTTATCTGCAATATGAGAACAAAGATACTAGTGAACAAACCATGGGTTAACTACCGTGACACTATTTGGATTCATAAAGAAACAAATTAAGTCTTCATTATTGGTTAACAGTTCAAAAATCTTGTCTATTATTTGAATGAAATTATACAGCCATCTATTGATACCTTTGAATATGTTTGACAGCATTTTGAAATGTCTCTTTTTCTCCCTTTGATAATGTTGTTCTAGTCATTTCAATAATTTAATCATACATTCAGGGCGAAGCTAGATGGCTGTGAAAAGTGTGCCAAAATGACAAAACAGAAGCGCTCACAGTGTAAACTCATTAATCACCTATGAAGTTTGATGCATTATGAAACTCATAACAGTTTAGTCATCACTGCCACTAGCATGCTGTTGGATTTAATTGAATTTATATAAGTTCCTTATGAAGTCAGGTTTGACAGGATATGACAAAATGGGTTGTTCATGCACTGACGCTCATTTCAATTCATTTGTCTGCTTTCAAGATCAAAGTGTAAGGCGGTAACAGCAGGTGAAGAAATCAGCTGTGAAAAAGACTCTTCCAAAGAAACAAATTCCTTCATTGTTGTTTCGTTTTGGTGCAAATCGGTGATATTTGGTTGCTAGCATAACAACCACATTCTACTTTGATTTAGACATTTCACAATGTTTTGATTTCATTAGGTTTGATTTATAGATCGCCTTGGTAACAAACAAAAAAAACGTAGATGCTGCCTGGACTGCTTCACACGTTTGAGCTCACGGTGCAAAGTCTGAAGTGCTCATTACTTTTGAGTCCAGCTATTAGCAAATGCATGCTCCCTGACTCGGGAGCCATATTGTGCAGTAAGCAGTACAACACATGATTCATAACATCACCATCACAAGCTAATTCATCATTCTCCTTACCCTAGAATGCCCTCCCATGGGACTGGAGACTTTGAAGATTGATGACTTCCAGCTTCACGCTTCAACCACGAAACGCTATGGCCTCGGTGCACACAGAGGTCGTCTTAACATTCAGGTATGTAAAGTAAAGTGTTGGCGTAGCTTGGGAACACTTACCAGAAATGTTTGGGCTTGCATTATGTCCTGGGCAATCTGACCTTTCTTTTGAAGCTTTGGAGTCATGTGTTTCCAAAAAAGGAGCAATGCAATAGAAGATTGATGGAAACATAGCATCTTTTGATTTCAGGATCAATATGAGGACATATTTAAGGTCTATGGAAAGACGCCTGCCCAGATAAGTCAACAAGGATCACATGATTTCCCTGATTCAAACATTGACAACATGGATATGGTCACATTGAAGTCACCCATTGGTATTCTGAAAATGTGATATGAAGCCCAATGATGGCAGTCGCCATATTGGAAATGCTATCTCTCACTAACTTTTGATCAATAAAGAAACGGGCAAAGAACTTTAATTGAAGCCGACCTTACGTTTCCTGGTAAATGGCTACAAAGGCCCTCCTGTCAGTCAACTCAACTACAACAGATTTTATGAAAATGTATGCTTAACTCCTTATGAAATCAAAATGAATACGCTATGAAGAGAATTCACCCCCATACAGTTTATATGTATAAAGAAATTTGCCATTGAGACCAAAACCATCTTTTGTACGAGGTTGGAAACAGGTTTATTTCTGCTGTGAAAACAAGCATTTTAATATTGGACCTTATGGGGATTCTTTGCCTTTTGCTGCCAACTAAAAGTGAACAATAGAGGAACTGCATTTTTTGTTTTCACTTTCACATTGGTTTCATTTTTCAACCCTAAAAATTGCCACTTGGCTTCAACTTAACACCCTTAAGGTAACACATTAGAGAAAGTAAAAGTGTCTCCATCAAACAAGGGGCACATCCCCAGACCTAATAAAAAGGATTGGCATCTGTTAGAAGAGCTATTTCCTGTTAGTGCAAGCTGTTCTTTGAGGTTATTAGCCTGCATACGGTCCACAGCTTTATCTTCATCTTTTGAAGGGTGAACTGCTCTGACTCCAACTGCACAATTAATGAAACACACACACACACACACACACATGCTCTTAATTCTCTCAAGACGGCGAGGTATTATGTTACAGGAAACAAGCAAAACAAAGGATTTGTTGTGTGTGCGAGTGTCTGTCAGGGATCATAGAGGGGAAAAAAGATAACGTCCAATCTGGAGAACAATTATCTGTATATCAGTAGAGACACATAGAAAACAGATGTTGCCTGTTGTATCAGGCGTGTTGCCCAGTCAGCTTGGTTAATTTCCACTTT